TAATTAGAAATATGTATTTAAAAATGAAGTAAAACAGGTCACTCCAGGCCTGATTTAGCGAGGACTGGGTGGCAGAGATGAGGACAAGCTCCCGGTGAACTATGGGCCTGGCTCTGGCTGGACTCCAGGGGCCAGGGCAGCATCTGTGTGCTCTTCCTGGGGCACAGCTGATGCCTGGGCTCCCAGGGCTGGTAGCCTTTCCCATACTCTGAACACCAACCTGGCTGCTTGGTTCATCTTGGGTTAAGAATCTCTCTAAGCCTGCAGTACCCAGGTCCTGTGAAGCTCATCTGCCAGCCTGCTGACCCTCTCTTTGGTCATCTGGCCACTCCCAGGATGCCCCCTGCCCTTGGCCCAGCATAAGGTCTGCTCACAACAGGCAGAAAGTGTTTCCCACAGCGCAGTAACAGAGGCTGCATAGCAAGGCCCTCACTGAACACTGCCCTCTCTCCTCCCCAGGCGAAGTCCGCCTTGTCACTTTGCACATCCAGGCGCTGGTGGATGCCGGGGTCCACGCAGGTGACATTGCTGTCATCGCTCCCTACAACCTCCAGGTGTGAGGGACCTCCTTCTGTGTCTTTGTGTCATTGGACTCAGCTAGAGGCTGAAAGGACAGGCTAGTGTGTTGGCTCCTGTGACTACAGAGTCCAGGGCTAGAGTGGACCTCACTGGACAGCAGCACCAGAGTGTATGTGTTTCTGCACCTGCCATTGCCGCGAGCCTGACCTCAGCCTGGTCCCCGCTCCCTTGAGCACTGGCCAGCATTCCCAGGTGGACAGAGTCCATGCTGGCGGATCAGCCTGGCCCAGGTTGTGTCCCCTGCCCCCCACATCGGCTTTGGTGGGAGAAGCTTGCTGCCTGCTTAGTGCAAGGTCCTCACAAACAAGTGTCACCCCCTTCTGGTTCCCGGCGTCACACAGGAGGCCACCGGAGACAAGGAGACAAGGTGCTACCACCCTCCCAGCACATAGCTTAGTGGAGATCTCTCCCCGGTGTGTGAGGTCCCAGTCAGTCCCCACTGCTCTGTTGACATGTCCTCCCGGGATGCCCCCGCCTCCCCAGCTCTGCTGACCCTCGGGCCAGTGCCATGCTCCTTGAGCTTGCGCTTTACATGAGCTCAGAGGGCAGAGGCTGACCACTGGCACTGCCCATGCAGGAGAGTTCCACGTGCCTTCGGGATCAGTGCTGTCACTCCCAGGCTAAGAAGAGAGAAAGGCTACAAGCCTCAGGGACACACAGTGTCATGGCAGTTTGCTGCTGTTGTCGTCACTGAAGGGGGCCCACGGTGGCCATTCCTGCAGGGCAGGCTTCCGGGCACGAGGGGTCTTGAAGTCCCCTGACTTGGTGCTAAGATCTCGGCCCCGAAACTTTCTGTTTCAGGTGGACCTGCTCAGACAGAGCCTCTCCCACAAGCACCCCGAGCTCGAGATTAAGTCTGTTGATGGCTTCCAAGGCCGAGAGAAGGAGGCCGTGATCCTGACCTTTGTCAGGTCCAACAGGAAAGGTACGTAGTGCAGCCCCCATTGGAGCCTTGTGCACAGCCTGGGAGTGAGGGCGCTGACCCTGAAGGCACGTGGAACTCTCCTGCATGGGTAGCAGCACAGTGGTCAGCCTCTGCCCTCTGGGCTCATGTAAAGCACAGGAACAAGGAGCATGGTACTGACCCCTGAGGGTCAGCAGAGCTGGGGAGGCAGGGAGCATCCCAGGAGGACACGTGAACAGAGCTTCCCCCTAGTGTCGGGAGGGAGAGCATGGTGTTCTCAGCAAAGGGAATAGACTCAGTCTGGTCAAGGAGCAGGTGACTGGGGAGGCAGGCTGGGCCCCAAGTGACTTGGTCACCCCGTCCAGGGGAGGAACTACCCCTTCATGCCCTAGAGCCCTGTCTTTTAGCCTGGAGGAATGATATGATTTCTGTGTGGCCACAGCTTGCCATGCAGTGAGAAAACTGCATCCAGGCCCTAGCAGAGTAGCCTTGGGAGCAGGCTGGGGATGGACGAGGAGGGGATGGCTTTGGCACAGAGCTCTGCCCTGTGTCCGCAGCAGCTGTTCCTGGCATCCCGAGTCCAGGCGTGCGGAGGAGGCTGTACTTGCCCGGCAATGGTGCCGTCTCAGCGCTCCCACACTGACTGGGGAACTGCACTGGTCAGCAGCGGGGCGAGCATCAGAGCAGATGCTGTCCACCGTGCCGATGGCAGGTCGGGTAGTGTGCACAGGGAACGCAAGGGGGCAGCTGTAGACTGCTGTAACTCTGATGATGTGACCGGCAGTGACTGTCCCCGACAAGCATCCTGTCCCCTGACTTGGATCTCCGTCTCTCTAACCTTATCTGGCCTGTTCTCAGGTGAAGTTGGTTTTCTGGCCGAGGACAGGCGGATCAACGTCGCTGTCACCCGTGCCCGACGCCACGTAGCGGTCGTCTGTGATTCCCGCACTGTCAACAGCCACGCCTTTTTGAAGACCCTGGTGGATTACTTCACAGAGCATGGGGAGGTTCGCACAGCTTTTGAGTACCTGGATGACATTGTCCCCGAGAACTACACCCATGAGGGCTCCCAGGGACACAGCCAGGGCCCCAAGACCAGGGGCCCTGCCACCTCCACCAGGAAGCCTTCCGGTGAGCAGGAGAGTGGCCAGGAGGCCAGAGCAGCTGCTGGACAGGGCCGCAGGAAGCCGAGCGGGAGGCTCCCAGGCTCTCAGGGCCACCCCCAGCCCAGCTCCGGTGCAAGCGACTCCGACAGAACTGGAGGCACAGACCGCACAGAGCACTTGAGGGCCGTGATCGAGAAGTTTGTGGCCAGCAAGGAGTCACAGTTGGAGTTTCCCACGTCCCTGAGCTCCCACGACAGGCTGCGAGTCCACCAGATAGCTGAGGAGTTTGGGCTGAGGCATGACAGCACCGGGGAGGGGAAGGCCCGGCACATCACCGTCAGCAGGAAGAGCCCTGCAGGGCCGGGCGGTGTAGCCCCACGGCCTCCCTCACCCCCCAGCCCTGCACAGGCCGAGCCCCAGCCACTGGCAGAAGAGCCCCGGGGGCAGTCCCAGGGCCCCACCCAGCTGGATCTGAAGGCGCTGCACCTGGAGAGGCTGCAGAGACAGCCGCGCAGCCAAGCCCAGGCAGCCAAGGCTCAGCCAGGGCTGGGTTTGCGACCTCAGAAGGCTCCACAGAAGAAAAAGAAAAAAGAAATGAAAGGTGAGCCACATCTCTCGAGCACACGGTGCCACTTGGTTCCTGTCTCCCGCCACCACCTGCCGCCACCTGCCACTCAGGAGCCAGTTAGACTCCCTTGGCCACGTGGATGACTCTTGTCTCGCTGGCCTGGCCTCCCCTAGGGTAGTGACAGGCAGGTCACCTGCTCATCCCTAGAGCCCTGAGGGGCACGAAAGGGAAGCCCTGGCATGCTCAGTGCTGCTGTCCCTCTGGGGAAAGAAGGCGGTTAGGGCCCTCTGGGGCAGGCGTGTTCTGAGTGGCATTGTAGGGGCAGGTACTCAGAGCTGCAGGCTTGCTGAGACCACCGTTCTTAGGCACCGCGCCAGGGCCCAGTAGACTGTGTGCTCTGCATTCAGCCTGCACTGTGCCTGCCATCCCCTGGGTGACTCCACCCCTGAGTTGGCACACATGCTCCAGCACAGCGAGGGTGGACCCACTGGGGAATGGTACAGGTGTTCTGGACACTTCAGCGGGCCCTTGCCAGCGGGACCACCGTCAGCTCCCTTTGGGGCACTGTTCCCAGAGCCAGACCTCACGGGTGCAGCTCTCAGCTTCAGAACCAGCTCCCAGGGGGGTGGCACTGCTCCGTGCATGCCACAGCACTCGTGGGGTGGCTCCTGTAGCCAGGCTATGTGCTGGTGACCAAGATGACCCCTGCCTCAGATGGAAAAGCACTGTGTCTATGCCATGGCAAGTCTGGACCTACCCACGTCTGCTGTTCCTGCCACAAGGCCTAGGTGGCCTCGGAGCCCCATCTACTCCTGGGGTTCTGAGTTTGCCTCAGGCTACCATCTTTCAGAGTCCCCAGGGCCTGCAAAGGTTCAGGCCCTGTGCCAGTACCCTGCCCAGCAGCCGAGGTACCACATAGGTGGCCACTCTTTGGTGCTCTTCGGGGCCCTGGTCATGGAGTGATAACTGGCAGGAAGGATGAGCTGAAGGCAGGAGGGTTGGGTAGCAGCACCCTCCATCTGGTCTGACTCCTCTGCTTGGTCCTTCTTTCCCATCCACCTCCTGAGCATGCTCACCGAGGGTACTGCCAGAACGGGGTGCACCCTCCCCGAGGCCCTCTCTAAGCCACTTTGTTCTACTTGGGATGTGGCAGGGGCCAGTGACTGGGTGGCTTCAGTTTCCCCTTTATACAGCCTTGGGAGAGAGAGAGACGGGGGTGGGGTGGGGCCAGGGCCAGGGGCAGAGCAGGGCCCTCCTCGGCCAGTGCTCTCTGTCCCTTGTGTTTGCACACGTGTGTGCTTTGTGGGGCTGCACTGTGTTGCTGCATCTCTGTACTCCCAAGATTTCTCTGTGACACAAATGGGGTTTCTTCTCTTTTTTCTAGACAGGGTTTCTCTGTGTTTCTCTGGCTGTCCAGGAACTCACTTTGTAGACCAGGCTGGCCTTGAGCTCACAGAGATCCGCCTGCCTCTGCTTCTCAAATGCTGGCATTAAAGGCGTGCACCACCACCACCCAGCAGAAACAGGGTTTCTTAAACATTGGCACTCCCACCCTCCATCACCCAAGACTCTGTAATGACATTGACATTTATCTATTGTGTACATTGGGTGCATGTGCCGTAGCACAGCTGGGGGTCCAGGGGTGACTTGCAGGGTCAGTGTTCTTCATTCCACAGAGGGAACTCAAGTCGCCAGGGTTGGAGGCCAGTGTTCTTAACCAGTGAGCCTTCCCACTGCCTTCTCCTGAGAGATTTCCCTGGCCCTCAGCACGTAGATACAGAATGTGCAAATCAAATATTTACTTTAGTAAGTCATAAAATTGTGTTTTAGAAGTTCTTTGGAATACATGAAATTTTACCATTTATTAAAGGTGAGAACAGATTTGCATCCAGTCATCTGGACACTTGTCTAACACAACACAGCCCCAAGATGTACCACTTGATAAATTCTGAGGAGCGCTGGGCAGGAAGTGCCCCGTTGTGTCTGGTGTCTGGCGTTAGAACAAGAGGCCTTTGTGAGAATGGAGTCACATACATGCAGTGAAGCACCCAGCTCCTCCAGTGGCTGGACTCGCAGCAGAGGGTGGCCACTCTGGTGTGACGGTGGGGCAGTGCTGAGCATGCGTGTTGTGTGTTGAGATCCAAGGCTTCTGCAGAGGCACCGTGCCGCACACCTTTGATTCTGAAGAGATGTGTACTTTCTGGAGCCTTTCACAGTTGCTGAGTTTTTCACGACTCCAGCCTGACCCCAGAACACCCACAGTTTAAGTAAGACACTTCACTGTCAAGCAATTCCTGCCCCTGCCTGAGGGTCTGGGAGGCTTCAGCTGGGGCCCGAGTTGGGCAGCCTCCGTCCCTGGTGGTACTCAAGTCTGCCTGGGTTCTGTTTTCAGTCGTATCACAGGGAGCCTGCACCCCACCTCCCAAGGCTTTTCTAGGTGAAAGGGTGTGCATTTAGAGGCACTCTACACCCTGTCCTCCTCCCTCGGGGCTGGGCAGTGGGGTGGGTAGGCTGTCAGCTTGGCGAGGACCCTGGCGTCCTGGGCGGATGGCAAATCCCACCAAGGACTCTGGGGATGAGGTGTCCACTGTCTGCAGTGTCTGGTCTCCGTCCTCTCCTTGGCCTGAGCTCTGCCTTCTTCCTCCCCAGGTCTACATGCGGCTCTGCCCTGCGAGGACGACTTTGATGCCCTGGTGTCCGCTGTGGTTAAGGCTGACAACACCTGTAGCTTTGCCAAGTGTTCGGCCAGCACCACCACCCTGGGCCAGCTCTGCATGCACTGTAACCGCTGCTACTGCCTCAGCCATCACCTGCCCGAGGTGACGGCCCTCCCAGGCGGGGGGTGGGGGGTGGGGGCATCACTTGGTTGGCTGCGGGTGGTGTTGGGGGACTGGTGTAGCCAGACCAGCCTAGCGTTTTCTGTAAAAGCCAAAGCAGATGCTGATCATGATCTGATGTGAACACTTGGGGCACAAGGAAGCAAAGTGCACCTTTGCCGAGGGGCAGCCACAGAAGTGGGAACTCTGGGTAGAGGAGCTCTGTCCATCCTACACTCTGTAGATTGGCTGACCTAGCTCCAGGCAGAGGCTGGGGAGGGGCTCTGGCCTGCAGACTGAGTGGACCTCCAGAATCCTCGGGGTCAGGTACAGGACCTCTGAGGACTTGGGGCAGAGCAAGCTTTGACTACTCTGGGATCTGAGAAGGACACTGGCATGGAGTAGGGGATGTAAACTACTGAGTGCTCCCAGGAGGAAATCCAGGAACCAGGACAGTTGGGGGTTAGTGGGCTGAGGCCCACAGGGTGGAAGTTAGGCTGGCCGGGGAGTACAGAGTGATGGCAGGCTGCCCTTCTAGCGTGCAGAGCGTGCCCTTCTAGCATAGACAGCTGGGTTGGGTGGAATGGCCCGGGCTGTCAGAGTCAGGTGTGGGCAGCACAAAGTGTGACCAGGGCCATGGTATCACCAGACTGGCAGCAGCTTGGGGAGTCGGGGCTGGTGAGCAGAAGCAGCTGCAGGGACCATGTTGACTACCCTGTGGGCAGACAAGAGGTACTGTCCCCTGTCCCCAGTCTCCAGGACTCCAGCCTCAGGATTCAGGCCCCTTGCTGGGTAGCTGTGAAGGATGGACTTGGGGAGGGTGGAAGGGCAGGTCCACGGTCTCGCACCTTTGATGCCGATCTGCAGGCTGCAGTTTGCCGTGGCCACAACTCACCCTGGCTCTTGTGACTTTTCAGATCCACGGCTGCGGTGAAAAGGCTCGCGCCCACGCCCGGCAGAGGATCAGTCGGGAAGGAGTGCTCTATGCAGGCAGTGGGACCAGGGATAGGGCCCTGGACCCGGCCAAGAGGGCCCAGCTGCAGAGGAGGCTGGACAAGAAGCTGGGCGAGCTCAGCAGCCAGAGGACAAGCAAGAAGAAGGAGAAGGAGAGGGCTACATGAGGCCACATCCTCATGCAGGGCTGTGTGGGGCAGAGGGCCAGACCCTGGGACCAGCTTCCTCAGGGTCAGCAGGTGGAGCCACTTCTCTGCTTGACCTGGCATGTCCCTGCTTCTCCCATGACAAGGATGTCGTTTGTAAGGAGATCTGCCTGGTCTTAGACTCCATCAGAGTAACTCTGCCCTGACTGGCCAGGCCCCTCTGATGCTGCTCAGATGCATGTCCTGAGAAGTGAGTACCTTGCAAAGCAGGCCATGGCCACCTTCATCCTGTCTTCTTCAGTGACACAGTGGGGCACAGATTGTGTACTCTAGGGACGAGAGGTTCCTAGAGGCTCCTAGCCTGGGATGGCCTGCCCTCTGCTGCTTGGTGACTATGGGATGGAGCTGTCCCAGGGCACCTCACTGCTTACCTCACAAAGACTGCATCCTCTGCTGCATCCTGTACAGTTGCTCATGGGAACTTCAACAGATATATTTTAGCCTCAGACTCTTGTTTCAAAAGATTATAAATTATTTGCAAATTAAAGTGCACATTAGTGGCTCTTTGCTTATGTCGGAGGTGAGCGTCCTTTACCTCTGGCTCAGATGTCACCCTGCACATGAGGTGAATGGGCAGTGATGGCACCTGCCCCAGGGCATCCAAGAGTGATGGGATGGGTGATGTGCAGTCTGGCAGCATGGACAAGGCAAGGCCATTGCTGGGGAGGTTTCATGATACGTGGGGAGGAAAGGACCCCCTCTCAGCTGACTTTCCTAGCAAGGAGGATGGGGTTTCAGATTGGGAAGTTTGGCACCATGTAACTGGACAGTCAACCCAGGCAGCAGGGAGATGCTGGGGATCCCAACATAGACTGGGTGGGATGCTTCCTGGTGGAGCCAGGCTCGGAATCCTCCCTCCCATGAGGGTCTTCATGCCTGCTGTCTGCCCACTCCCCTAAGGGTCATTTTTGTCCAAGCAAAGGGCAGCATGGTTTTCCTGGCCTGGTGCCTGAGGTTCCCCTCCTGGGAGCCTGCTCATGCTGCAGTCACACGACTGTCCCTCAGGTGGCTGCAGGCCTTGACCTCTCTGCTGTTGCCAGGGCAGGAGGACCACCCTCGCCCTCTGCTGTGTGGCTGTGTCCTGCAGGTTGGACATGACCATGGCCACCTGAACCAGAACAGCTATAATATGTGCACAAGACCTCAGGAGACAGGGTTCCCTAACAGCCCCCTGCCTAAGGTCTCCCAAGACCCCTCCCCTCTTGAGGTTGTTTAAGAGGCAAACAGTTGGCTGGCGGGGGAACTCTTAGGTAATGCAACTGCCCATATGTCCCCCAAGGGGACTTCCAGATGCTACAGCTGCTGTTGAGTCACCCATGCCCAGGGGACTTCCAGGCAGTACAGAGTCACCCATGCTCCTAAAGCCAGTACTCACCCATTCACCCAATTAGACTCGGACAGAATCCTTCCTTTGGTCTGCAGTGATCTGTCTCGCTGGGGTGAGATCGTCCCAGAAGAAGTCATATGACACCACCCCCCTCCTGAGCTCATGGTTGCCTTCCTTGCTTGTGTCCATGCATGGTGTCTGTTGGGAAGGGGACATGGCTGAGGCTGCATTACACTCCAGTGCGGAGCTCAGTCAGTGTTGGAACTGCAGCTGGACTGCCACCGGTGCAGCGCTGGGCATTACATGCATCCCAAGAACGGCGAGCTGTGCTCTTCCCAAGATGCAGTGGGAATGCCGTGCCATGTGGAAGTGTTACTCCAGGGTTGCAGAGCTCAGGGTAGAAGCTGCCCGGCCCCCCTGACCTGTGGGTATGAGCCCTGATGGAGCCCCAGGATTGAGCTCAGGGATAGACCAGACTCCAACAGGACCAGCCAGTTCTGCTCCAGTGCTGACATGTCCACTGGAGGCCAGACGCCAGCTCTCGTGTTGGAGGCCAGCGGCCACCCTGCCTGCCTTCTAGAAGGCTGTCTGTAGAAGGGAAGGGATCCGAAGAGAAACAGCCCTCCCAGTGAGGCTGGGGGTTGACCTGGTGACAGGGTTGGAGCCCCTGGATCTAGCCACACCCAACCTCCATCCTTCCCTGCATTCTAAACTAGTAAGTCCCTTTTTGGCTGAACAGAGTCCACCTTGGGTTTCTGTGCCTTGCTGCCAAAGGCACTTTGCTGGTCCAGTTGTGCCTGTAGCTGTACATCTTCAAAAAAATACCTGTGTGTGTGTGTGTGTGTGTGTGTGTGTGTGTGTGTGTGTGTGTGTGTGATGGAGAAGGGGCACATGTGTGGGAGTAACAACTGCAAGAGTCAGTTCCCCGCTTCCACAGTGCGGTTCCCAGGAGTCACTCGGGCCATCGGCCTTGGCGGCAGGCATCTTCCCCTCCACGACTGGCTTTTTCATGGGTCTGGAGATCCAAACTCCGGTTCTGGTGCTTGAGCAGCAGTTAACCCGCTGAGCTGTTTCCCCGGCCTAACACGTCTGTGTCTTACTGGGTCTGTGCATTCTGGTATGGCGGTTGTGCCGATCCAGTGTCCCTGTCCACTGAGAAAGACCAGATCTCATGTTGCCACCGGGAGCGGCTCCCATGCATGGCCCTCCAGGAGGAGCTAGGCTAGCACAGGCTGGGGCCTGGGAAGATGCAGAGTCCTAGTAATGTCAACACCATCACGCCAGTGTGTGACTTCTGCAGGTAACCCCACCCCCGACCCCATGCACACACACACACATGATTGCCTGTCCCTCTACTAAGCAGGGTAGGAGAATGGCTGTGCCTCTCTTGGCAGTAAAAAGCGTGGCTTGGGTCCTGTACGCAGGTCTCCATGCCAGGGAATGCACCATGTCTCCACACCCCACAAGCCTCTTGTGGATCATCCTCACCTTGACTGCTGCGCCTTAAACTGCTGGCATCAAAGGTGGCTGAGTTAAAAGTTTCCATGTCTCATCCCAGAGAGCCCTCATTAAGAAAATGTCTGTGTCTGATTGCTTGAAAAAAAATGTCCTGTAGCCTTGCTGGGCAGGTTAGCCCAGGAAATGGCAAAGGCAGCCAGATGTCTGGCCCGGCCACTGTGAGCGCTGGGTCCCCAGGACAGCCTCCCAGGAGGGCGTGGCTCACAGAGCTTCCGTTCGTGAGGAGTGAGAAGTTTCTTGTGGAGGTGCCCAGGTGGCCCTGCCTCCTTGGTGGAGAGGGGCTTTACTCCTCATACTGCAGCCCCAGGTATTCCTCATTTGTAAAATGGGGCATTGCGGGACCCACCTCATGGGACAGTTGTGACGGTTAGAGAAAATCTAGTGCCAGGCTCTGGTGACATTGGTCTCTGGCAAAGCCACTATGCAGGGTGCTGAGGTGGCTACAGTTCCAAAACACAATGCTGCCCCTGCTGGTCAAAGATCACCAGCGTGCCTCTGTGGCATTGCCCAGAGGGGTGGCCCCAGTGGGCTGCTGGGCACACAACTCCTTCAGGAGGTTCCCGGCCCAAGTGACAACCTTGGCACTTACAGGGAATTGCAGTCTGCGCCAGGAGCTTGGCAAGAGCCGCAGCCTTATTTGGTCTGGAAACTTCTGCGAGTGAAGGAAATGTGGAGCAGGCCCGTGGACCTCTAGTGGGCAGGCAGAGATGTGACTCTTTCCCAGGACAGGATCTGGACGTACTGAGAACCTCCATCACTGAATGCTCCCCAGGCCCAACGCTCCTTAGCATCCGGCGACAGCAAACAAAGCTGGCCGTCAGTGTGGCAAGGCTGTACACCTTCCCTGCTTCTCTGCTGGGCTGGTTGACTGTCCTTCCCTACTAGATTCCCAGCTCAGCCCTCTCCCGACCCTCTGCTGCCAGGAGGAACCGTCATGAAGCTTCTCCAAAGAGCAGTGATGACCCCCACCACACAGTTCACCCTCGAGAGTGCAGGACCCTACAGGAGTTAATAGGTAGAGTCCTGGGCACTCTTAGTCCGTCCCCGCCTCCCACAAAAGCTGTAGTCTGTGCTTAATCCCTTTGCCTTCCTACAGTCCCAGGAACCATGGGTCCACCTCCTGTACTTGAAAACAGACCTGGAAACGTCATTGAGTACACAGCCCTTTGCCTCTGAGTTATCTTACTTGGCATCCTGTGTTCAAGTTTTGCCCAGGTTGTGTTATGCATCAGTCTTGTTCCTTTTTATTGCCAAGTAACAGCCTATTGTGTGGACATACCACAGGTTTTCAATTCATCCACCTGTAGGTGGAGAGTGGTTGCTTCTGCTTTGGGACTGTTGAGAACTGCAGAGATGCTGTGAACTGAAACTGTGAGCAAGCCCCCAATTAAATGCTTCCTTTTGTAAGTTGCCTTGGTCACGGTGTCTCTTCACAGCAAGAGAACAGTGACTAAGACATCAAGGATGACCCTGACTCCTTATCCTCCTCCCTGTACCTCCCAAGCACTGGGATTACAGGTGTGACCCCACAGCTGGCTTTGACACTTCCTCTTTGCCCTGACTTCTAAACATTCTGGACTTTCTCTCGGACCTTCCACTCACTCTGCTGACCCCGCCAAGACCTCAAGCTCTCTGTCCTAACTCCCGTGTGGCCTCTTCTTCTCTGATGGATCTTCACTTGGCCTCTGACTGACTCTCACCCATGCTTGTCCCCCTCAGCCTCCTCAGTTCTATAATGTCACAGTTCGATGCTGCCATTGATGGTGGAGGTTGTGTATGGAAGACTGTCCCTCGGGAGCAGACTGGGCCTCACAGGGAGCAGGAAGGGGAGGTAGATGTCGTGTTTCAGAAAACCCCTGGTGACCACCCTGTGGAGAAGGTTGTCACCCAGGAAGACCCAGGAAGTCAAAGGAAATTACCAGGCCAGATAGATGAGGAGGGGCCTTTGTTCAGGAGTGACAGCTCCCATCACCTGCCT